ATGGCACTGAAAACTGAAGCTTATGATGGTGTTATGTTACAGGGATGAAATTTATTCATTTAATGACTGTTTGAAGTTAGAATGACACTCCAAAAAGTGACTTATGATCGCTTTTCACCCTTACGACCGTTGCAGCATCCCCTGGTCACATGATCAGAATTTGGGCACTTGGCGACTGACTCGTACTTATGACGGTCGCAGCATCCCAGGGTCACATGATTCTCTTTTGTGACCTTCTGACAAGCAAAGTCAATGGGGGAAGCCGCATTCACTTAATGACCGTGTCACTAATTTAAAAATGGCTACGATTCACTTAACTACTGGGGCAAGAAAGGTAGTAAAATGACACAGACTTAACACTTAAGCAACTACCTTGCTTAGCAATAGAAATTTTGGGCTCAATTGTGGTCATAAGCTGAGGACTAGAATCCCATCAGTTAATTAATTGGCTGAAAACCAGGAGCTGCTTTCCCACTATTTGCCATGGTTGTTAAGTGAATCACTGCACTTTTTTGGTGAGTCGTATGGCCGTTAAGCAAATCGGCTTTCCCCACGGACTTGGCCTGTGGGAAGCGGGCAGGGAAGGCTGCGAATGGGGATCATGTGACCCTGGGGAGACCGTGCCACCGTCATACATACGTGCCAAGTTTCTATTATGTGACCGTGGGAACGCTGTGATGGGCATGAGGACTGGTCATCAGTCTCTTTGGAAGGAAAGGGAAGAAAAAGAAAGAAAGAAAGAAAGAAAGAAAGAAAGAAAGAAAGAAAGAAAGAAAGAAAGAAAGAAAGAAAGAAAGAAAGAAAGAAAGAGAGGGGGGAGGGAGGGAAGGAGGGAGGGAGGGAGGGAGGAAGGGAAGGAAGGAAGACAGTGAAAGAAAGAAAGAAAGAAAGAGACAGAGAAGAAAGAAAGAAAGAAAGAAAGAAAGAAAGAAAGAAAGAAAGAAAGAAAAAGAGATAAAGAAACCAAGACAGAAAGAAAAAAAGAAACAGAGATGAAAGAAAGAAAGACACCGAGAGACAGAGACAGAAAGAAAGACTGAAAGACAGAGAAAGAAAGAAAGAAAGAAAGAAAGAAAGAAAGAAAGAAAGAAAGAAAGAAAGAAAGAAAGGAAGGAAGGAAGGAAGGAGGAGGGAGAGAAGGAGGGAGGAAGGAAGAAAGAAAGTGAAAGAAAGAGAGAGAGATTCAGAGAAGAAAGAAAGAAAGAAAGAAAGAGGGATAAAGAAACCAAGACAGAAAGAAAAAAGAAAGAAAGAGACAGAGATGAAAGAAAGAAAGACAGCGAGAGAGACAGAGACAGAAAGACTGAAAGACAGAGAAAGAAAGAAAGAGAGACAGAGAAGAAAGAAAGAAACAGAAAGAAAGAAAAAGAGATAAAGAAAGAAAGAAAGAAACACACCGAGAGAGACAGAGACAGAAAGAAAGACTGAAAGACAAAGAAAGAAAGAAAGAAAGAAAGAAAGAAAGAAAGAAAGAAAGAAAGAAAAAGAGATAAAGAAACTAAGAGAGACAGACAGAAAGAAAGACACCGAGAGAGACAGAGACAGAAAGAAAGACTGAAAGACAGAGAAAGAAAGAAAGAGACAGAGGTGCAAGAAAAAAAGACACCGAGAGAGACACAATAAGAAAGACTGAAAGACAGTGAAAGAAAGAAAGAAAGAAAGAAAGAAAGAAAGAAAGAAAGAAAGAAAGAAAGAAAGAAAGAAAGAAAGAAAGAAGCAGTCCCTCCATTTATCTTAAAAGCGAGCAGAAAGAAAGGGAAGTTGTGACAATCCAGATGTGGCGGAATCCCAATCTCTAGCTACCACGCCCACTAAAATCAAGGATGAGGGGTTTTGTAGTGCAGCCACTGCTAGAGATCAGCGGGGATGGTCTCCACAGGGAACAGGAGAATGGATCTCACGCAGGGCTTCTGGTGCCCTCTAGTGGCCAAAGGCGTCATGAAACGCTCTCTTATTTTTCTAGATCCGATTCGATTCTCTCCTTCGGAAAATTTAATACGAATTCAGCAAACATTTCGCCTTGCTTCGGACCCAAAAACTGGCCGAAGAAGAAGAAGAAAATTGGGAATTTTGCCCTTAAATCACTCCACATTTCCCCATAAGCAGCACTTTGGGGGGATGTTTTTTATATCTTAATTATGAAATTATATCCCTGCCTTTCTGTTTACTTTAGTTAAAAATAAGAGAGAGAATTACAGGCAGACCTTGACTTATGACCATAATTGAGCCCAAAATTTCTGTCGCTAAGCAAGACAGTTGTAAGATGAGCAGCTTTGCTCCATTTTACGATCTTTCTTGCCAGATGTTGGATCTCTCCTAACCAGGTTAAATGCATCACATGAACAAACCAGCATTCTCTGCTTACTTTCACACTAACTTGAATCCCTACAGTTGCTCATTTAACAACCAGGGGCAGGAAAGGTCATAAAATGGGGGCAAAACCCACTGAACAACTGTCTCACTTAGATACTAGAAATTCGGGCCTCAGTTGTGGTGGTAAGTCAAGGACTGACTTTAGTGGCAGGACTCGAACACAGAACTCCAAGGCCACTGACTAACCAGGATGGCAAATTGCAACCCAAACAACAATATATAGACAAAACATTTATTTTTATTTTTTTGCAAAATGCAAAACACACAACGACATCCCATGGCAGGAGAAGGGACCCGCCATGGTCCTTGTGTCAGGGATCATCAGAGCATGCGATGAGTGCCACAAGATCCCACAAGTGCAGCAGGGACGCTCCTAGCTAATCCCTCCGAAGGTCAAGAGTGTGAAACATCCCGGACGGGTGAAATAAACTTTTTTGCCGTTCACCCATTTGTAGTAACGGCAAGATTGCCTCCTGATTTTCTCTCTGGGAAAAATCTGAATTTTCACCTCCTGGAAAAGAAGAATAAAGGAATAAGAGAGTTGGAAGGGCCCCTGGAGGTCTTCTAGCCCACCCCCCTGCCGGGAGAGGTTGGGAATACGGTCCCTCAGACCACTGCCGAGCTCCTGCTCTTAAGGACCCCTCCTCAATTTGGAGATAAATCAGTCCATTTGGAAAAAACGTACCAGGGGCTTCGTGGCCAAGCACCACAGGCAGTCCTCAACTTACAACTTACACAGGCAGTTCTTTTAGTGACCAAAGTTACAACAGCACCGAAAAAAGGAACTTACGACCCGTTTCCACACTTATGACCATTACAGCATCCCCGTGGTCATGTGATCAAAATTCAGACGCTTGGCAACTGACTCATATTTACGACGATCGCAGTGTCCCGGGGTCACGTGATCACTTTTTGGTGACTTCCTGATCAGCAAAGTCAATGGGGGAAGCCAGATTCACTTAACAACCGTGTTACTAACTTAACAGCTACAGTGATTCACTTAACAACGGTGGCAAAAAAGGTCATAAAATGGGGCAAAACTCATTTAAAAACTGCCTGACTTAGCAACAGAAATTTGGGACTCAATTGTTGTCGTAAGTCGAGGACTACCTGTGGGCACATTTGCAGACCAGACCAATAAACCATCTGAGATTCAGCCTAACGGTTGTACAAATACAAATGCTGGGTCTCTCCTAACCAGATTAAATACATCACATGAACAAACCAGCATTCTCTGTTTATTTTCCCACCAACTTTCCCTCTTCAACCCACTGTCCCTGTTTTTGGGGGGAGGGGGGAAAGGACCCCCATCCTTCCGGCCTGAGTGTGCAAAACTCAACCTGGCACTTCTGAAGAGTGCCCTAAAGTGAGCAAAGCAGGTCAGGGCGCTGAGATCAAATCCTGACAGATGTGCTCACCGGCACGGGTCCTCCGGCACGAAGCTCTGGGTCCTCCTCTGCTCCTCGCAGGGCCCCAAGTTGGGTCGTCTCCGGCAGGGTCCCAGCCCAGCTCAGCACCAGCAGCATCACCAGCAGCACCCACACACCCCGCATGATCCCCGCAGCCGGAAATGCAGCTTCTCAGGGACGGTGGGATCCTCTCTGTCCGAGGAGCAGGAACGGAGGTTCAAGAGATGATCTGGAGGCCTCCTTAGAAAGGGAAGTTCCTCCAGGCAGCCCTCCGTGCTGGGGGGGGGGCAGGAAGGGGAAGATGGGACCCCAGGCAGAAGGAAACTAACTGACAAGGTCCCCACATGGGGATTGAGGAACCTGGAGGTTTAACGGTTGGGCTGGGGGGGGGGAATTCTCACAACAGCCGGCAGTTTTGGCTGGGGGAAAAAAACAGGATCTTTTTATTTTTAACCGACTTTTTGGAGTATTTCTCCATCTTCCCAGCATGTGAAGCCCCTGCACCTGTTGAACAGCGGGGGAAGAACCAGCTTCCACCTGGCTAAGCTTTCCAGAGCCAGCATGAAGGCATCTGAGCACAAACGGCTGGCATTGGCGCTGCACAGCAAGGAAAATGCAGATGTTTAGAGCAGGTTTTTTTTAAATGGGAAATTTAAGGTGTATGGACTTCAATTCCCAGAATTCCCCATAAATGGATGAAGTCCTAGAGTGCCCCAGAGAGGATATTTGGACTTTGATTCCCAGAGTTCCCCGGCCAGCAGGTGCAAAATTCAATACCCAGAATTCCCCATCCAGCATCCTGGTTAGGGAATTCTGGGAGTGGAAGTCCATCCATCTTCACACACAGTGGCTGGGGGATTCTGGGAATTGAAGTCCTCCCCTCTTAAGGCATGCTGGCTGGGGGATTCTGGGAGTGGAAGTCCACCTCTCTTAAAGTGTGCTGGCTGGGGGATTCTGGGAGTTGAAGTCCACCTCTCTTAAAGTGTGCTGGCTGGGGGATTCTGGGAGCTGAAGGCCACCCCTCGTAAAGCATGCCGGCTGGGGGATTCTGGGAGTTGAACTTCAGACATGAAGTTGCCAGGATTGTAAAACCCTGGTTTCAATAAACTGAGATGCCATCTTCCAAGAGTTAGAGGCCTCACTTGGAAAGGCCAAGAATAGTTAAACCAGAATTATTATCATCATGTCAAAGGCAAAAAGAAGAAAACCAAAGACAGCTGAGAGTGTAATATGGAACATATATAACTTTCATAAATTTTATTTATTTAAATATCACATTGAGAGAAGGTCCATCTGTAGCTGAAGTCCCCACACCTCACAGCGGCCATGTTTGAGAAATTGATCTAATAAGATCCCTTTCTGGACACAGGTAGTCCTTGACTTACGACTGTTCACTTAGTGACTGTTTGGCACTAAGAAAAGTGGCTCTTTCTGTCCCATTCACATGTTTCGCTTTGGGTTCACTCACATCCACAACTGAGGCCAGCCTTTCGGTTGTTAAGCGAATCCCTGCAGTTGTTAAGTGAATGTGGTCGTTAAGCAAAACTGGCTTCCTCCACTGAGTTGGGCTCGCTCACATACAGGAAGTCCTCGATTTACAGCCAGCTTTAAGCAAGGTTTAAGTGAGTCGCACCCAATTTCAGAACCCGTTTTGCCACAGTTCTTAAGGGAATCATTGCAGTCGTTGTGTGAATCACGTGGCCGTTAAACAAGTCTGGCTTCCCCCATTGATTTTTTTCATTCCCAGGAACCAGCTGGGAAGGCTGCAAAATGGATCCCTTGAGACGCTGCAACCGTTGAAAACATTTAACAGTTGCCGGGCACCCAAATTTTGATCACGTGTCTTGTTGAGGATGCTGCACCGGTCGTAAATGCGAGGATCGGTCCTTAAGTTCACTTTTTTTCAGCGCCGTTCTAACTCAGAAAGGTCACTAAACGAAGGGTTGTATCCCAGATCAGAGAGAAATGGAATCTGACGGCTGTTGGAAAACACGAACCAAGATGCTGAAATTAATAACAGAGGAGAAGGAAGGGTCCGCGAAGCGTCCATCGTGGGATCCAGCTGGTGTGAGAAGAAAGAGCGATTGGATTGGTCCTTCGTAACACACACACACACACACACACACACACACACAGACACAGAGTTCAGGTCATGGGAGACACCTACACGTTAGGAATCTTTTTGCACTTGCAAAAGCCCCAGGCCGATCGGAGGCGGAAGGCAAGGAAGACCAAGTGCGTCCCTGGGATGGGAGGACCGGATCATAAGGCATTGTGGGAATATCCCTGGCAGATCCATCATTAGTGATTGATATCGCCTAAGGGGCCGTAGGATCCAGGTCCGGGGGGTGGGGTCTTCTTCTGGCTCTGGCTTTCCTGGATAAATTTCTTCCACCAAGCTTTGGACAATCTGGACGCTTCAATCTGGATTGGAAAGAAGGATGAGATAGAAGTCAGAAGAGGGGAAATTTAAAAAAAAGAAAAAATGGGATGAGGAGTTTCTTTCTGGTCTTGGTATAGGGTCTCCTGCTCCAGCAGGGGGCTGGACTAGAAGATCTCCAAGGTCCCTCCAGCTCTATTCTATTCTATTCCATATTCCATTCCATATTCTATTCTGTTCTGTTCTGTTCTGTTCTATTCTATTCTATTCTATTTTATTCTATTCTAATTCTGTTCTATTCTATTCCATTCCATTTTCTATTCCTGTTCTATTCCATATTCTATTCTATTTTATTCCATTCCATTCCATCCATTCCATATTTTCTATTCTATTCTATTCCATTCCATTCTATTCCATTCCATATTCTATTCCTATTCCATTCCATATTTTATTCCATTCCATTCCATATTTTATTCCATTCCATTCCATATTCCATTCCACATTCCATTCCATTCAATTCCATTCCATATTCCATTCCATTCCATATTCTATTCTATTCTATTCTATTCTATTCCATTCCATTCCATTCAATTCCATTCCATATTCTATTCTATTCCATTCTTAGAAAAGCAGGGTGTGTATGTTTGTGTTTGCTTAAATTTTCAGATGCCATCCACAATATTTTGCTCCGCAACAAGCACGCACGGAGTTTGCAAGACCACAGAAAATAAATACTAGTAGTCCTCAACTTACAACAGTTCAATTAGTGACTGTTCAAAGTTATAAAAGCACTGAAAAAAGTGACTTATGACTGTTTTTCCACACTTACGACCATTGTAGCCTCTCCATGGTGACATGATCAAAATTTGGCTGCTTGGCAACCAGTGTGTATTTATGACAGTTGTGGGGTCCTGGGGTCAAGGGATTACCACTTACGACCTTCCCAGCTGGCTTGTGATAAGCAAAGTCAATGGAGGAAGCCGGATTCGCTTAACGGCCATGTGATTCGCTTAACAACTGCAGTGATTTGCTAAAAAACATGGCAAAAGGGTTGCAAAATTGGACAGGACTGACTTAACAACTCCCTTTGCTTAAGGATGGAAATTCTGGTCACACCGTTGTTAAGTGAATCTGGGCTTCGCGACTGACTCTGCTTGTCGGGGGATCACGTGACCCCGTGACTATGCGACCCTCCTACATGCTCCATTGCTGTCGTAAACCGAGGACTACCAGCAAAGGTGTGATACATAAAGGACTTGCTCAATATTTGCAATGGAGGTCGTAACATGGGGCAAAACTCACATTACCACTTTCTCACTTAACAACAAAGCTTAGTTTTGGTCGTAAGTCGAGGACTACCTGCATTCACAGTCTTTCTTTCCAAAGATAGATGCCTAGTAAACAAGGCATCTTTCCTGGTAGGGCAACTGTTCCACACCCATAATCAATTTTTTTTCTCATTTTTTTTCTAACACACATCTTTGCTGAATTTCTAACAGAATCACCGCTAGAGGTCCACACTTACGGGCAGATGTCCAGAATGGGACGTCACCACCTCAGGTGCTCCAGAGACCGGCGGGGCATCTTCAGAGCGGACTGTCAGGAGAAGCGAGAGGCTGGCCAACACCACCAAGACGAGCCAAGAAGCCTTCATGGTTTGTCCTAATCCTGGATGAAACCCACAACTCTCCTGGATCGCAGTTGTGAGTGCCTTCTCGGTTCTCTTCACGCATTTATGGACCTGCCTGATCCCTGGGCTGGTCACCCGGAAAGAATTCGGCATGGGAAGTGCCGCAATCTACATCTCCAGACGTCACCAGCTAAGCTACCTTCTGGCCTACAAGGATCGTGACTCATGATTTCTCTTCAGATCACTCCACCCTGGTGTTGCAACATCCAAGCCGACAAGTCATTGTTGGCACGACAGGACATTGCCAAGGATTTTTTTTTAAGGCCTGCTAAACCATCCCCACCCAGTCTGGATCTCGTTCTCCGGCCCTTGAAGAACTTGAGAATGGGGCATGGAGAGCTTATTAGACTGTTAATATCTCAGCCAGATATTTGGTCAGGTACAGATTGGCAATTAAAGTTTTTTGATTTGTTAAGGCAAGAAAATATTTTACAATCATGGTTTCAATATTTACAAATAATGGAGAGATGGAGAGTAGATAAGAAGGTGGGAATTACTTTAACAGATGAGAATTTGGTAATTCAGATTAAAGATCAGAAATTTGCTCATATTAAAAGAATTTATAATGAGTTGATAAAATTGGATTCAGAAACAAAGTTAGTAAAAGATTGTATGATCAAATGGGCCCAGAATATACAGGAACCAATCTTAATGGATTCTTGGGAGATAATCTGGGTTAGAAATGTTAAATTTACTCAAGCACAAAACTTGAGGGAAAACTTTTATAAAATGTTTTATAGATGGCATTTGGATCCTAAAAAGTTATCTTGTATGTATCCGAATTTGCAACCCAAATGTTGGAGATGTGGTTCCTTGGACGCAACTTATTTTCATGTTTGGTGGACTTGCAAAAATATTAAAGCTTTTTGGATTATGATTTGGTGGAACATTCAAAAGGTTTTTAAAAGGAAAATTAAATTTACTCCCCAATTATTTCTTTTGGGAATTTTTGTGGATTTTGATGTTAAAGAAACTATTTTAATGCTGAATTTAATAACAGCAGCAAGACTATTGGTGGGTCAGTATTGGAAAAAAGATTCTCTGCCTTCTTTAGAAGAACGGGTATTTAAGGTTTCTAATTTAGCAGAAATGGCTAAAATTTCTGCTTACTTAAAGGACCATTCTCAAGAGAGATATTTTAATGTATGGAGAAGATGGACAGAATATATTCAGAAGAAGTATGGAACAACAAAGTTTCATTTATTTTATGAATAATGGATTTTTACTAAATTATGAATTCAAGTTTGCAGAGAGTTAAGGGTTATTAGGACTCCGCTTATTGTATAAGTAGTAAATTTAAGTTGACTATGTTTAGTTTTCTTTTTTTTTCTTTTTTTCTTCTTTCTTTTTGTAACCCTGTATTGAGCTCTGGGAAGTGGGGGGGGGGTGGGGGAAGGGGGGAGGGGAGAATATGGGTAGTATTTTCAATAGTTCAGATTTTGGTGATAGAGGATTGCTCAGGCATTTCCCCTCAGACTGCATCTGACTGAGAAGAAGAAGAGAGGGATAAGTAAGTAGAAAGATGGAGGAGAGAGGGAGGGGAGCAGAGGAGGAGGTAGAAGGAAGGGGGAAGTGAAGAGATGAGAGGGGGATGCGGTCTGGGGGGAAATGGGTGAGCAATGTCAGAATTTGTGTTGTATTTTAACTTCTTATGTATCTGAATTTTTTTTTCTTATGGTTGTAATGAAAATAAAATAATAAAAATTGAAATATATATATATATATATATATATATATATATATATATATATATATATATATATATCTCAGCCAGAAGATAAAAGGATGCTAGCAATCTTCTCTAATCATCACTGGGTTAGAGAAGAGGAAGCAGGAAGTAGGTCAATGTTCATGAGGGAAATGTGGATGGAAGTTTCCTGGTGAATCAGGGTTTGTGAGTAAGCTGGGCTAAGTGAGTTTGAACTCTGGTGACATCAGAAGCACATTTGTAGTTTTCTTAGCAAACATCTGGGACCGATTCTTGGGTTCATCTGAATACTTTTTCAACTTCTGCTGGTCTCACAGGAAGTCCTCAACTTACAACTGTTCATTTAGTGACCACTGACAGTCCCAACAGTGCTGAAAAAGTGACTTATGACCAATCCTTGCACTTACAACCATCTTGCATCCCTACGCTGGCTGAATGACTGCTTCGCTTAGCCATAGAAAGTCTGGTCCAGATTGCATTTGAGCCCTGCCTGTAGTAATCTTGTTTCCTTTGAGGTAAACCATGAATAGCTAGGGATGGGATGGGATAGGGAATTATAGAACAGAATGGAATGAAATGGAACAGAACGGAATGGAACAGAACAGGGTAGGGTAGGATAGGAGAGGATAAGAATGGAATGAGATAGGATACGATAGGATAGAATATGGAATAGGATAGAATATGGAATACAATAGGATAGAACAGTGGTTCTCAACCTTTTTAATGCCGCAACCCCCAACCGGTCGTAAGTCGAGGACTACTCAACCGGTCGTAAGTCGAGGACTATTCAATGGGTGCAGCATCGTTTGCAGAATGGGACTTTTGGCGGGCTCAGCAGGGCAAAGACAGCCTGGACAATTCCTATTGGCTTTTGAAAGCCAATAGAATTAGACTCTATTCAAGACAGTCTATTCTATTGGCTTTCAAAAGCCAATAGAATAAAAGGGAGTAGCACAGCTAAGGAAAGGGGGGGGGGAATGGTGGAGTGTGTTGTTTGGCGACCCCCGTGAAATGGTCGTTCGACCCCAAATGGGGTCCCGACCCACAGGTGGAGAACCACTGGGATAGAATATGTAATGGAATGGAATGAAATGGAATAGAATGGAACAGAATAGAATATGGAATGGAATGGAACGGAATAGAATAGGATAGGATATGGAATAGGATAGGATAGAATATGGAATAGGATAGGACAGTGGTTCTCAACCTTTCTAATGCCGCGACCCCATAATACAGTTCCCCATGTTGTGGTGACCCCCAACCACTTATACATCACCGGGTGCCAGGGGCGTAGCCAAAGGGGGGAAAAATGGCGGACAGCCTTGTTTGGCGACCCCCGTGAAATGGTCGTTCGACCCCAAATGGGGTCCCGACCCACAGGTTGAGAACCACTGGGATAGGATAGGATATGGAATGAAACAGAACAGGATAGAATAGATGGAATGGGAAAGAAGCTGGAAGGGACCTTGGAGGTCTTCTAGTCCAACCCCCCTGCTCTGACAGGAAACCCTATACCATTTCAGACAAATGGTTGTCTAATCTCTTCTTATAGCACTTCCAGATAGGTAACTTAACAAATGTCTCGCCTAGCAACAGAAATTTTGGGCTCAGCTGTTAGTTTTGAGTCTTCCTGTATAGAACAGACCGGCCTGTGCCTCAGTGGGTAGATTCACACAACCCTCTAGGTTTCATTTGTGGTTCAGGCCTTCAATCATTTGTCTTGGGGTGGTTGAGAAAACAAGAGCGCCAAATTTAACTCCAGTACATTTTGTTGTGTACAACATGTGTTGTGGACCCTGAGTTGTTACCTCTACTCGTTACAAAACCCCCAGATTTTCTAAATCTTCCTGCCAATTTAAATAACTGAAATTAAATACACGTTCTCTCACCTGTGCAATTCTATTTGAATTAGGTGATGTTTCCATTCTTACAGTCCCTCTCCCCTTGTAAGTGTGACATTGTGTGTAGCCTGTGTGTAATTTTAACCCTTGGCCAGTATTTATTTTCCTCTTGATTAAAGGCCGGGTGAACGTGGAAACCATGGTCCTCTCAAGGTCACCAAGTAAAACAGACCAGCATCAAATTTTTAATGTTATAGGTAGTCCTTAACTTACGATGGTTCACTTAGCAACCGTTCAAAGTTGCACTGAAAACCAATGACTTAAGAGTAAGGTGATTTACATAAGGGTGTAGGAAACCTGTGGAAACCGTCGTTTCTCAATATTCAAAATCCCAGCTGGGTGTGCAAAAACAAAAACTCCCTTTCAGAAGCTGACCTAGCCTTCTGGGATGGCTAATATCCGAATTACCAGGATGCCAGAGTTTCTAAGATGTGCCAAGCACGTTTTGAAATGTAATACAGGTAATCCTCGATTTATGACCACAATGGAGCCCAAAATGTATGTTGTTAAGCGAGATGGTGGTTAAGTGAATTTTTCCCCGTTTTATGACCTTTCTTGTTGAGTGATTCGACTTAAGCTTAAGTTACCTCAGTTGCTAGTCCCCTGGTTGTTAAGTGAATCTTGCTTCCCCGTGGACCTTGTCAGAAAACCGTCATAAATATGAATCAGTTGCCAAGCGTTTGAATTTTGATCACGTGACCATGGGGATGCTGCAACGGTCATATGTAATTAATTAATTAATTATAATATAGTCGGAAGGGACCTTGGAGGTCATCTAGTCCAACCCCTTGCTCAGGCAGGAAACCCTATCCCATTTCAGACAAATGGCTGTCCAGTCTCCTCTTAAAAAATGTGTATGTGTAAAAAATGGTTCTAAGTCAACTTTTTCCAGTGCCGTTGTAACTTCGGACGGTCACTAAACAGACTGTCATAATTCGAGGACTACCTGCACTCAATTTAAACCAGAGGAAAATGCAGCTAGAGCAGTGATGGCGAACCTCTGGCACGGGTGCCAGAGGCGGCACTCGGAGCCCTCTCTGTGGGCACACGTACCTTTGCCCCAGCCTCGCCTCCTCCTGCGACCCCCTCCTCTCCAGCAGCCCCCCTGGAGGAGAGTTGCCCCTGGCCCACCCGGAGCAGCGCAGCCAAGGACATGGCAGCCAGGCAGCGTAGACAAGACTCTGCCCTCATGCCCCATTGCGCAGTTGATGCTGGGGGGCGCAGGCATAGGGCATGGCCGCCATAGCGCTGCTGGGCTGCCTGGGCAATATACGGCAGGCCCTGGAGGCGGTGAGTGGCCCTGCGGCAGGTGGGGTGGGGCCAGGCGGTGGAGCAGGGGCGGGGCCAGCTTTTGGGCACCCGCCATCACTGAGCTAGAGCAGTGGTTCTCCACTTGTGGGTCGGGACCCCATTTGGGGTCGAACAACCATTTCATGGGGGTCGCCAAACAACACAGTCCGCCATTTTTTCCCCCCTTTTCCTTAGCTGTGCTACTCCCTTTTATTCTATTGGCTTCTGAAAGCCAATAGAATAGACTCTCTTGAACAGAGTCTAATTCTATTGGCTTTCCAAAGCCAATAGGAATTGTCCAGGCCGTCTCTGCCCTGCTGAGCCCGCCAAAAGTCCCATTCTGCAAAGGGTGCTGCACCAGTTGAGTAGTCCTCGACTTACGATGGTTGAGTAGTCCTCGACTTACGACCGGTTGGAGGTCCCAGCATTAAAAAGGTTGAGAACCACTGGACTAGAGAGTCTTTTTTACAGATACAAAACTTGAAAACTTCTGCGCTTTGACAATCGCAGGAGGATTTTGTGGCACCTGAGACCAGACTTGTGTTGGGGTTTTTTTTCACATTTTTTTCACCATTAGTGAGGAAACAACAACAACCTGGGACACCTGCACAGCAAGAATGAAACAGCTTGAAGAAACCCCTGGGAGAAACAAGAAATTGCAAAAAATAAAGTAAAAGTAAAAAAGAGAGGAGGAGAAAGAGAAGCAAAAGAAGGCAGAGAAGTAAACAGAAGGCAGTCCTCGGCTTACAACCGTTTCTTTAGTGAGCAAAGTTACAACGGCGCTGAAAAAAGTGACTTACAGCTGTTTTTCACACTTACGACCGTTGCAGCATCCCTCACCTGACCAAAATTCGGACACTTGGCCACTGACTCGTATTTACGGCGGTGGTTCATGCGATTCCCCCTTCTGACAAGCAGAGTCAGCGGGGGAAGCCTGATTCACTTCAGGACTGTGTGACTGACTTTAACTATTGCAGTGATTCGCTTAGCGACTGTCGCAAGAAGGGTCATCAAATGAGGCAAAATTCACTTAGCAGCAGAAGTTTTGGGTCCCATTGTGGACGTTAAGCTGAGGTAAAAGGTCAGTTGTGAACCATCCATGCAGCCCCAAAAAAAGAGAAAAAAAAAAACAAAACAGAAAAACATCCAAAATGCTGTTTTTCCCTCAGAATTCAGCCAAACTCAATGACGAGATTTGACAGTTCAGATGAGACAACTGCAAATCGCTTGGGGAACATTTTATTATCAAAGAAAAAAATTTCCTCCACACGACACAGCCTGGTGTGTCACATACATTTTGAATGGAGAAATCTAGAAAATTTGTAGATTAATGTCTTTCCTGTACGCCAGGGAGACACACACACACACAGACACACACACACACACACAAACACACACCCCCTCTTAATAAGTGACATTTGTCGATTTCCTCCATATTTTATATGCTGAGAACTGGATGGCAGGGTAGGAGTTATTTAAAGTATAAAAAGTAGGATTGACCCTCAAGCAACCAACCCATCACAAAATTATTGAAAAGGCAGAAGGAACACAACATAGCTTTTTTAGGACACACACACACACACACACACACACATTGCAGGTTGGGGTTTTGGAGGCAAAGCAAGAAAATGTGTTGCTTTAAAACGGTGTTTCTCAACTTCAGCCATTTTGAAGATGTGCAGACTTCAACTCAAGCTATAGCTGGCTAGGGAATTCTGGGAATTGAAGTCCGCTCATCTTCAAAATGGCTGACATTGAAAAAGAACTGATTTAGAAAATGAGAAATTAAACACAATTGCCGGTCCCTTCAGCTTTTTTCTGATATATTTCAACTTCTTTTTTTTTTTACAGGTTTTTAAATTTTTAATATCAGGTGGCTGCTAGCTCGTTGCCCCCTTTTCTCCCTTTATTTTGTATTTGAACTTTGGAAATAGAAAAATAAACATTTGGGGGGGGGGGTTAAAAACAAAAAACAAAAGATGGATCCCCAACCCGCTCAGCAAGTCACACCGAGGATCAAGGCCAGAGTCCGGATCAAAACTTCCCATCTTGCTCGGCCGATGTCTTTCCTCGGTTTTGTCGTGGACCTCTGAAGTGGCCCAGGTCACTCTAGGTCCCAAGGTGAAGAAGCAGCAGCAGCCAAGCCAAGAGACTCGTGACTTTGTCTCTTCTCCTGCCCATTAAGGCAGAAGTTTCGGGTAACAAAATGGATGTTTGAAGAAAGAATTTGGAGTTTTCTTTGCAACTGAGGTGATTTTGTAGGGATGAATGGCCCCCTTGCTGGTCCGGGAATCTCCTTTCGGCCAGGGGCCTCAATCCGAATCACTGTCTTCCTGTTGGGCCGAATCGACGGCAGAGGCCAACTCTTCCTCCTGGCCTCTCAACCGTTCTCCTGCCAGGCAGAATCAAGCAGATGGACCTCATGGAGACCGTGGTAGGTCCTTTGAACCTCAAAACAGGTGGCCCACCGAAATACGCCCACCCCGGGCAGCTGAAGCATCCGTGACAGGAGCGTCAAGACACCCCAAGTTGGCTCATCCCTATAAAAGGAACTGGCCACAAATTTCCTGGTATAGGTAGTTCTTGACTTACGATAGTTTGTTTAGTGACCGTCTGAGCTTACAAAAAGTTCACTATAACCAGTTTTTCAGACTTACGACCATTGCAGCATCCCCGTGGTCATGTGATCAAAATTCAGATGCTTGGCCACTGACTCGTATTTATGACTGTCGCAGTGTCCTGGAGTCACGTGATCCTCCTTTTGCGACCTTTTGTCAAGCAAAGTCAATGCGGAAGCCGGATTCACTTAACGACCGTGTGACTAACTTAACAATGCAGAGATTCGCTTAACAACTGTGGGAAGAAAGGTAAAATGGGGGGAAACTCATTTAACTGTCTCACTTAACGACAGAAATTATTGGTCCAATTGTGGTCGTAAGCTGAGGACTGCCTATATCTCCGTTTTTCATACAATGGAGATCAGGCAAATGAAGCAATCCAGCCTCTCTCAGGCTGCTAAAATATATTCTCTCCTCCACTTACACCCCAGCCTTCTGCCACGAAGTGCAGGAAATCCTCGACTTATCAACACAACAGAGTCCCAGGTTTCCGTTGCTAAACGAGACAATTGTTCAGTGCTCCACTTTACGGCCTTCCTTGCCATAGTTGTTAAGGGAATCCCTGCAGTTGTTAAGTAAGTCACACAGTTGTTAAGTGAATCTGGCTTCCCCATTAGAAGGTCGTTAAAGGGGATCAGGTGACCCCTGGGACACTGCAACCATCGTAAGTATGAGTCAGTTGTCAACTGTCTGAATTTTAATCGTGCGACCTTGGGGATGTTGCAATGGTCATTATGTATGAAAAACGGTCATACATCACTTTTTTCACTTCCGTTGTAATGTGGAACGGTCACTAAATGAACTGTTGTAAGTTGTTACGGGGTAGTAATGTCTGAAGACTCATAAACAGGTGATTTATGGCAGATGGGAAGGAAGGACAATTTGTTGGATATAGAATTTTATCCGGCTTGCAAATCTGGCCCTGGCTGGACGGTCAAGTGACACCCGTGTGCCCTTTGCACGTCATTGTGTGGGGAATGACAAATGATCTCTTAGGACAGTGGTTCTCAACCTGTGGGTTAGGACCCCATTTGGGGTCGAACGACCATTTCACGGGGGTCGCCAAACAACGCAGTCCGCCATTTTTTTTCCCCTTTTCCTTAGCTGTGCTACTCCCTTTTATTCTATTGGCTTTTGAAAGCCAATAGAATAGACTCTCTTGAATAGAGTGTAATTCTATTGGCTTTCAAAAGCCAATAGGAATTGTCCAGGCTGTCTCTGCCCTGCTGAGCCCGCCAAAAGTCCCATTCTGCAAACAGTGCTGCACCAGTTGAGTAGTCCTTGACTTACAACCGGTTGAGTAGTCCTCAACTTACGACCGGTTGGGGGTCGCGGCATTAAAAAGGTTGAGAACCATTGTCTTAGGACCACCTGGACGCTGCTATGTTTCTAAAAAACGCCCCCCACCCTGCCCAAACCACACTCACGGATCAGCTCAGCGATGGCCCTCTGTGTACGTTTTTCCAATTTTTCCAGTTTTTTGGCCACGTCTCGCTTTAGGTCCCTGGGAACGAGAGAAATGGGGGGGGGGAAATGAAAACTATCAAAGCTCCAGGGGGCTGGAATAGAAGACCTCCAAGGTCCGTTCTGTTACTCCCTACCCACTCTTTAAAGGCAAGTTTAGCTCAGAGTTACAATCCTATACATGCTTGGAAGAGTTAGCGGTAAAAGGAAACCAGGCCGCCAAAGAAACACGGTGCCTGGATGTCATTGGAGTTGACGCCTGCTGGAGCACAGAACAACTCAAAGTAGTAGTTCAAGAAGTCGTGGAGAGACCTGGCCCAGAGAATCGCCAAAAGCTGGACACAACTGGACGGATAACGTCACCAACATCATCACTTATCCTTGTCCACAACTCTCCTCCAATCAGAGAAGGAGAAGGGGCAGAACCTGAGGGAACTGGAGTGAAAAGTGGGATCCTCCTAGAATCCCTATGTAGTCACAGAAGAACTAAGTCCAATCTTCCTAAAGTGCTGTTGACCCTTTTCTAACTCCTGGCAGGTGCTGAGTAACACTCGAGAAGATTCTCGTGCACTTGAAAGATTCCTGTGCATAGGCTTTCAGCCATAGATCGGTTAGTTGAAAGATTCCTGTTGACACGCTTTCAGCCATAGATCGGTTTAGCTGAAAGCTTCCTGTGCACAGGCTTTCAGCCATAGATCGGTTAGTTGAAAGATTCCTGTTGACACGCTTTCAGCCATAGATCGGTTTAGCTGAAAGCTTCCTGTGCACAGGCTTTCAGCCATAGATCGGTTTAGTTAAAAGCTTCCTGTGCATAGGCTTTCAGCAATAAACCAGTTTAGTTGAAAGATTCCTGTGCACAGGCTTTTAGCAATAGATCGGTTTAGTTGAAAGACTCCTGCGCGTAGTGTTTTAGGAAGAGATTAGTTTAGTTGAAAGACTCCTGTGCACAGGTTTCCAGCAATAAATCAGTGTAGTTGAACCTTCACGTGCAGGCCTGGTGTTTTGCGCCTATCACAAATGCACATAAAGAGCACAACTGCCCCACAGCAAACTCAGGAAGTTTGGGAAGGCCTTTAAATTGCAAATCTTAGCTGCTCCGCTGCTCGTTCCTACTCACCAGTCGGGCTTCCTGGGGGCAAGATTTGCCAGGTCCTACAAAGGACGAAAACAAAGGGGAGGGGTTAATGAGGTAGCCCCCCCCCCCCACCTTCTTCTTAAGAGTCACTTTTCAGTAAAAGTCTCATGCGAGAAGGCCTCACCACTTCTTCAATGATCAGCTCCGGTTTAGCTGCCTCTAATTGCTCCTTCACTTTGTCTTCCACTAGAGAGAAGGAAGGAAACCACAGTGACAGATGGGAAAGGACGGGGCAGAAGATTAGCCCTCCCTTGTCCGTGGGGGTGCCAAGAGGACCTCCTCAACAGAAGGCCCAACTGGGGCTGTTTCCAAAGAAAGCGTCAAGAATTGAGGCAGCCATCCAGACTGTAAGCAGGCATCCTCCAGACGTGGGAGCTGCAGGGCCCAGCACAAGTGGAGAGGCACAGGGTTAGAAGGGAAGGCAGAACCTTCCGAGAACAGATGCCGGGGAGGGAAAACACAGCAACCCAGGTTGGAGGTAGGACATCAGGCCTTCTCTGTCCTCCTCCAGGAGAAAGACAGTGGGTTCTAGGAGCCCCTTCAGGGTCCTGGCCTCGCAGTGCTGGCTACCTCGGCCTTAAGACTCAAAAGAAGGTGTCTGTTTCTTTCTGGTACAGGAAAGGGGAAGGTGGTGGAAGAGGAGAAGATGGAAAAGAAGAAAATAGAGGAGGAGGAGGAGGAGGAGGAGGAGGAGGAGGAGGAGGAGGAGGAGGAGGAGGAGGAGGAGGAGGAGGAGGAGGAAATGGAGAAGGTACTCAAGGAGGAGAAGAAGAGGAGAAGGGAAGAAGAAGATGGGAAAGGAGAAATAGAAAAGCTGTAGAAGGAGTAGACAGACAAGGGGAAGGAGAAAGACACAGGAGGAGGAGGAGGAGAAGAAGATGGAAAAGGAGAAAAGGAAAGAGAAAGGGAAGAAGATAGACAAGGAAAAGAAGGTGAGGATAAGAGAGAAAGAGAGAGAAAGGGGGAGAGAGAGAGAGAGAAAGAAAGAAAGACAAGGAGAAGATAGACAAGGAAGAGCAGGAAAAAAGGTGAGGCAGAGAAGAAGACGGAGAAAGAGAGAAAGGACAAGAAGGTGACATTGCTTCTCCCTTGTTGGATTCCTGGTTGGCTCTTTCTGGATAGGCCTGGACAAGGCAGGTGGACCACCAGGACCCCCATCTTGTCTCCCCTGCTGACCTACCTGAAGCCGGCTTGGCATTGGGCACCACCCTTTCCTTCAGCTCCACATCTTCAGGGATATAATTCCGCAACTTCAGCTCCCTGAAAAGAGAAGAAAGAAAAGAAAGGTGGTTAGGAGAGAGTGCAGCCTCCATCCATCAACGAAGCTGCACTGCTGTATTGGAAGCACTTGTGCCTGGTTAAAGCTGGCAGCCCACTTTGGACTTCTGACTTCCCACTGGCTTCCCCAGTGACTCAGTTGTGGGATTCAGTTAACCAAAACTTTGGGGATTCCGGTCACTGAACAATGCAGTCGTGCTTTAATACCGCATCACTTAGTGACCGACATTCTGGTCCCGATTGCCATATAAGTCGAGGACTTCCCGTTCTTGCTTTGCCACCAACCCTATAGGTAGTCCTCAGCTTAACAATTGGGCCCAAAATTTGTTGTTAAGCGAGACAGTTATTAAGTGACTTTTGCCCCATTTTATAACCTTTCTTGCTACCATCGTTGAGCGGATCATTGCAGGTTAAGTCACATGGTTGTTAAACGAATATGATTTCCTCATCGGAAGGTCGCAAAAGGGGATCACGTGACCCCAGGACACTGCGACCGTCATAAATATGAGCCAAGAGTCCAAATTTTAATCATATGACCATGCTGCAACGGTTGAAAGTGTGAAAAACGGTCCCAAGTCTCTTTTTTTCTGTGCCATTGTAACTTCGGTCACTAAACGAAGGGTTGTAACTCAAGGACTACCTGTATTATTTTTGCAACAGATCTGTCAGTGATATAAGTTGGGGGGGATAAAGCGTGTTTCCGTCTTGAGTTCTTTTTAATTCAATTTTTTTTTTAAATGTTCTTTTATAGTTCTGTTTCGTCTCCGTTTACTTGTTTTAGGAATTTTGCATTTTACTCTTCTGAATAAAATAGAAAAAAAAAATGGATTCAATTAAAAAAAATGAACTCCGTCCAACTCCAGACCGTTTACTCCTGGGTGAGTAAACCCAGTCCCAGTCCATGCACAGAAGGCATCCCTGCAATGCTCACACTGTACACTAGATGGAGACATTGCCCTTTTGGTGAGCTTCTCTGCAGTTTCCAATAGCCCAGTGTTTCCCAAACTTGACCATTTTAAGGCATGTGGACTTCAACTCCCAGAATTCCACAGCCAGCAATGCTGGCTGTGGAATTCTGGGAGTTGAAGTCCACATGCCTTAAAATGGTCAAGTTTGGGAAACATTGCAATAGCCCTTCCTTTCCGGATGACAGCACAGTAGGATTCTCAGATGGAATAGAGCTGGAAGGGACCTTGGAGGTCTTCTAGTCCATCCCCCTGCTCTAACAGGAGATCCTTTACCATTCCAGACAGGTGGCTGTCCAGTCTCTTCTTAAAAGCCTCCAGCGCTGGAGCATCCACAACTTCTGTTCCACTGGTTGATTGTCCTCACTGTCAGGAAGTTTCTCCGTAGTTCCAGGTTGCTTCTCTCCTGAATTAGTTTCCATCCGTTGCTTCTTGTCCTGCCTTCAGGAGCTTTGGAGAAGAGGTTGATCCCCCCCCCCTCCCATTCTTTGGGGGCAGCCCCTCAAATACTGGAAGTGTCAACTCTGCAACGAACCTAGCTGAAGCCATTCTACTCCTTATCGGTTGCCACAAGACTGGGGGGAGGAATGGGAAGTTTTATGCTAGCCTAAACAATTCTGTATCTGGGAATCAAGGTCACCTCTATTTCCTCAGCTGGGGGGAGGGGGGTTTGAAGCTAATGTTGGAAAGCCCTCCAAACTGTTTTATTGGGAAAGTAGTTGATTCCATAGATGGGGAGTGGGGCTGGGAATTTTAACTTTGTAAAACTGTTACTTTTGGAGGGAACTTTAGTTTTGGTTTCACTTTTGACCATGCCCATACTTTGTAACCAATAAACATGTTCTTAAAGGAAAATTCAGGCCTCAGAGTTCTGTTTTAATGGGTCTCATCTATCGGAACCATGACAGGAAGACTGCTATCGTGTCCCCCCTCGTCCTTCTTTTCTCTAGACTGGCCGTACCCAAGTCCTGCAGCCATTCTTCATGTGTTTTAGTCTCCAGGCCTTTAATCATCTTAGTTGCTCTTCCCTGCACTCTTTCCAAAGTCTCTACATCTCTTTTGTGCTGGGTTGACCACAACTGGATGCACAATTCCAGGTGTGGCCTTACTAAGGCTTTATAAAGCGGTACTAATACTTTGCGTGATCTTGATTCTATGCCTGTTTATATAACCAAGGATTGTATTAGCGTTTTTGGCTGCTGCTGCACACGGCTGGCTCACGGTCAAGGGATCGTCCACTAGGACTCCAAGGTCCCTCTCACAGTTGCTGTTTTTGAACTGGGTCTCGTCCAGTCTGTACGTCCATTTTTTAGTTTTTCCTGCCTAGGTGTAAAATCTTGCTTTTCTCCCCATTAAATTTCTTTTTGTTGGATAGGGCCCGTCGTTCAAGTCTGTCAAGATCTTTTTGAATCCTGAGCTTGTCTTCTGGGGTGTTTGGGTATTCCTGCCAGCTTAGTGTCATCTGCAAATCTGTTGAGTAATCAACCTATTTGCTCTTCTCTGCACTCTCCCCAAAGTCTCAACATTAAGACTCCCAGCACTTAAGGCAAGGCACCGGGATAACCTGCGCACCGTTGCTCTGAGTACACAACTAAGAATACAGGCAGTTTGCCGAGGAAATTAGAAAAATTATAACAATTCTGGTTCTCTACTGGAGATTAAAAGAGGTAGGGCTGGAATGTTCTCCAGATTGCAAATGCTTCCTGTTCTGGGACTAATTTTAAGAAAGGAAAAGAAAAAAGAAACGAGCATGCAAAATTCATAAACATATTGCTTGGACAGCCCGTCGCAGTCAAGGAATGCAGAACAGCTAACCAGAGCCTGGAGCGAACGTTATTCCTGCAAAATGGTTATACACTTTTTTTTTTTTTTGCATTAAGACAAATGCAAAGGAGCCAATAGCAACAAATAGAAACAGAACTAAAAATAAAATTATCTCTGTTTAGAATCAGGATTTATAGAGGCACAAGCCAGTCAGGAGAAAAAAAAGACTCAGCTAGGAACGGTTCAGATAGGATAAAAATCAGTTTTAAAAGTCAACTGATGCAGAGCAGCTTAGAAGAAATGGCAAAAATTGGATTATTCCTATCTTTGAAAGATTTAAACTGTGGTTGGCTGTATCAGGCAACACAGCTAAGCGTGTGTGGGGGGGAGAATAGACAGCAAAATGGACATGTTAACATTTTATAGGATTTTTATCCCACCTTTATTACTTTATAAGTAACTCAAGACAGTGAATGTAGCTAATATTCCATCCTCCTATTTTTCCCATAACAACAGCTCTGTGAGGTGAGGTAGGCTGGGTGGAAAGAGAGGGACTAGTCTCAAGTCATCCAGTTGGGTTTCATACTTAAAGCGGAACTAGAACTCACCGTCTCCTGGTGATTGGGCCAAAGTCACACAGTGGGGTTTCATAACTAAGGCAGGACTAGAACTCATCATCTCCTGGTGATTGGGCCAAAGTGACCCAGTCAGGTTTTATAACTAAGGTGGAACTAGAACTTACCATCTCCTGGTGATTGGCCCAAAGTCCACCAGCTGGCTTTCATGCCTAAGGCAGGACTAGAACTCACTATCTCCTGGTGATTGGCCCAAAGTCACTCAGTTGGCTTTTGTGCCTAAGGCAAGACTAGAATTCACTGTCTTCTAGTCATTGGCCTAAAAACATCCAGCTGGCTTTCGTGCCTAAGGCGGTACTAGAACTCACCATCTCCTAGTTTCTAGGCCAGCACCTTAACCACTATGCCAAGCTGGCTCTTTTATTTTTACTTAATGTCCCTTAAAAATGGGAATTCCACCACTGAATATATTAAAAGACGTCGGGGCTGTTTTAACTTAACAGCTGCAGTGATTCGCTTAACAACCGTGGCAGGAAAGGTCATAAAACTGAGCACAACTCACTTAACCGCCCTCTCGCTTAACCCCAGAAACATGGGGTTGTGCTTGTAACTTGAGGATTTCCTGCAGTCTCTCTCGGCTATGGGGCGAGTACATTTTAAGAGAAAAGACTGAGGATTTCGAAAATAAGAAATAAAAAAATTGCTAAACACAGATTTCGATCCTCAAACACACCCTGAAAGACTGATTTTATTTTCATCTCCAGTGGCCCTGAATGACCCCTGGACTGGGGACAAAATCCGGGAATTTATCAAGAGGAAACAGGTTGCCCCACCTGTAGGAATCAATCTGAGGAACAGATTTATAAACATCCCATTTATTGTTTGCGGCGGAAAAAAAAACGGGGGGCGTCCCCTGAAGTCCAGCCAAAATCACACACACGTAGCTTGCAACAACCCAGATCTCCACAACTTGGATGTGTGCAAGTTCTAAATTTACTATTTGCCTTAAATGTAAACCTATCAAGGACAGTAGATTGGGAAAGGCTGTTTTAGAGCCTTAACGGATATGCAAACAATGATCAAACCAGAGTTTAGTTATACAGGGATTCTCAACCCTAACAACTTTAAGACTTGTGGACTTCAACTCCCAGAATTCCTCAGCCAGCTTTGCTGGCTGAGGAATCCTGGGAGTTGAAGTGCACAAGTCTTAAAGTTGCCAAGGTTGAGAACCCATGGTTTAGTACAAGGTGCCTCCCAGATGCATGCAGTCCTCAACGTACGACCATCATGGACCCGAAATCTCTGTTGCTAAGCAAGACAGCAGTTTAGTGACTCTTGCCTAATTTTTCCCACAGTTAAGTGTATCATGGCACCGGTTGATAACACGGTCGTTAAACTAATCTGGCTTTGTTGTCAAAAAGTGGCAAAGGGGATCACAGGACCCCGGAGTGCTGCGACTGTCGTAAGTATGAGCCAGTTGCTAAGCATCTGAATTTTGATCAGGTGACCACAGCGATGTGGCAATGGTCATAAGGGTGAAAAACGGCCACTTTTTTGGGGTCTGTTGTAACTTCGGTCACAAAGCGAATGCTCATTAAGTCAAGGACTAACTGTACCTAGAGTGCACTCTCATTAAATCCACCCAGCGTGTGGTGTCTTCTGGACTCATCGCTTCGCAGAGCACCCAGCTCCGGAAAAAAAAATAAGTCGACTGGGGATTCAATGCCTAAAGGGCCATGATGGAGACGGTCTCAAAGCACATGCAGGTACTCCTCAACCTTATAACCATTCACGTAGCAACTATTCAGAGTTACCATGTCATGGGAAAAAACGGAATTATGACCATGTGAAGATATAGTACCGTTTTATAAAATTCTAGTAAGGCTACACCTGGAATACGGCATCCAGTTTTGGTCACCATATCACAACAAAGACGTTGAGACCTTGGAAAAAAATCAGAGAAAAGCAGCTAGGACAGTGATGGTGAACCTTTTAGAGACCGAGTGCCCAAACCGCAACCCAAAACCCACTTATTTATCGCAAAGTGCCAGGGCTGCATCAGCATTGTGTTGACCTTGGGGGGGGGGCAGGGAGGTGCCTCCGAGTGCCACCTCTGGCACGCAAAAACCAGGGGCACAAAAATGGGCCACCGTGATGCAAGGCGCAAAAACGGCCGCTGCCACACCGTGGGGTGTAAATACAAGGTGCTGCACCACGCAAGAACGGGGCAGGGCTAGTGAGTATTACGCAGGCACTAGCCCTGCCCCATTTGCAGCATGTGCATGCTCGCGGCCCCGTGCACACATGCACGCATGTAAACTGCTTCCCCCTCCCTTTTTTTCCAGTCCACCAATCGACAATGGTTGGTGACCTCTGCTGTTCCACCTCTACTCCAGCTTGCTAGTCAGCCGCTTCGCCTCCTTTGTGCTGGGCGGGGCTCCTGCTGTGGGTAGCGATAGCGGCCTGATGGACCTGCGGCTGGCAGCGGTGGCACGTGTGCCAACAGAGAGGGCTCTGAGTGCCGCCTCGGGCACCCGTGCCATAGGTTCGCCACCACTGAGCTAGGATGATCCAAGGCCTGGAGAGTAAAACATACAAAGAACGGCTGCGGGACTTGGGTTTGGCTAGTCTAAAGAAAAGAAGAAATAGGGGAGACATGATAGCAGCATTCCAGTATCTGAGGGGCTGCCACAAAAAAGGGGGGGTCAAACTATTCTCCAAATCACCAGAGGGAAGGACCAGAAAGAATGGTTGGAAACTGATCAAAGAGAGAAGCAACCTGGAATTAAGGAGAAACTTCCTGACAGTGAGGACAATCAACCGGTGGAACAGCTTGCCACCAGAAGTTGTGGGTTTCATCACTGGAAATTTTTAAGAAGAGACTAGACATTCACCTGTCTGAGATAGTATAGGTTCTCCTGTTTGAGCAGGGGGCTGGACTAGAAGACCTCCAGGGTCCCTTCCAGCCCTAGGATTCTATAAGGCAGGAAGGCAGGAGAAAGAGACAGAGGGATGGATGGATGGGAGAGAGTGTGTGGGTGGGTGGGTTGTCCACCTGTTGTTCAGAGCACCAGAAAGCAAGACAAGAAACGAGGGATGGAAACTAATAAAGAAGAGAAGCAACCTGGAACTAAGGAGAAACTTCCTGACAGTGAGAACAATCAACCAGTGGAACAGAAGTTGCCTCCAGAAGTTGTAGGTGCTTCATCGCTGGAGCTTTTCAAGAAGAGACTGGACAGCCACTTTGTCTGAAATGGCATAGAGTCTCCTGCTTGAGCAGGGGGTTGGTCTAGATGACCTCCAAGGTCCCTTCCGGTTCTCTTCTGATCGATAGCATCCGCAAGGTGCCGTGATCAATTTGGCAATGGCAAGTATTTAACCTGGTGGAAGCATCTCAGTGTGATGAGACTGCCAGGCTTCCGACGTGCAAAAGTCAGTGGGTGAAAGTCAGATCTGCTTTACGACCGTGTGATTCGCTTAACAACTGGATGATCAGCAGAGTGGATTTGATTTAAATCAAGTCGATCATGATTTAAATCACTAGTAAAAAGGCTCGATTTAAATCAACTCGATTTAAATCATAATTTTTAAAGAGCAGCTGTCATCTCTGACCGGCTGTTGATTGACAGCCACAAGGTGAGGGACATGGTGGGCAGCGGGTGAGTGGGTGCCCGCTAACAGGTGCTGCCAGGATGGATCTGAAATGACAGGTGCTCTTTAAATGTAAGGACTCATTCTTGCTGGTAGTTAGAATCTTTAATATTATTATTTGCAAACAAAATGAAGGTTTCCCATTTAGAATAAGAAGCTGTCAGGTCAGTAAAACAGCGATAACAGAACTGATTTTAGGTTAATCACACATAGTTGGAGAACTACTCAAATTATTTTATTTAACACTCAAGAGCCTCGTACAGAGGCATTTCTCTTCAAACAATCATACAGTTTGTAGTGTGCACAGATTTGCAAAACAATGGGATAAAGGAATATTCTTGAACTTTGTTTTACGACTTATCTCGTGGTTACTGTGAAACTGTGCGAATGCGTCAAGGCAGTGCATGTTATCTCGGCTATCAGAGCTTGGATTCACTGAAGGAGTTTACCAAAAATGTAAATATTTCAGATTGTAAAGCCTCATGCGACATAACAAAGCTCCATTTCATGCTGAACAAACTAAATTATTAATGTATCTTAAATAGAAAACTACGTTTAGATAGATTTTTACTTCAAAAGCATCTTATTAAAATAAATTTGATAAAAATTAAAAAAATCCAATTTAAATTTTAAAAAATCCGATTTTCTATTTTTTTTAAAAAAAATCATCAATTATTATCCACCCTGATGATCAGCTTAACTGAAGAAAGAAAAAAAAAGTTGCAAAATCCTGTGCAACTCATTTAACAACCGCCTGGCCTTAGCTACAGAAATTTTCCCCATTCGTGGTCATTACGTTGAGGACCGCCTGAATGGGATCACCCCTTTGCCACTTTCCCCAGCTGGCTTCCAACGTGCAATGGGGGAGGCAACCTTGGCTCTTTTATGACTGGTGGACTTCAACTCCCAAAATTCCTGAGCCAGCATGGCTCAGCTTGGAAACCTCTCCCTTTCCTCTCAACATGGCTGGCTCAGGAATTCTGGGAGTTGAAGTCCACGAGTCATAAAAGAGCTGAGGTTGCCTACCTCTGGCCTAGGCCTAGGCTGCTTTATGACTCATGGACTTCAACTCCCAGAATTCCTGAGCCAGCATGGCTCAGCTTGGAAACCTCTCCCTTTCCCCTCAGCATGGCTGGCTCAGGAATTCTGGGAGTTGAAGTCCACGAGTCATAAAAGAGCCGAAGTGGCCTACCCCTGCCCAAATGCCTGAATTTTGATCACGTGACCGTGAGGAAAAAATATTTAAATATTTAAACCAGGGGCCTTCAAACTTGGCCCTTTTATGACTGGTGGACCAACTCCCAGAATTCCTGAGCTGGCATGGCTCAGCATGGAAACCTCTCCCTTTCCCCTCAGCATGGCTGGCTCAGGAATTCTGGGAGTTGAAGTCCCCGAGTCATAAAAGGGCCACGGTGGCCTAGGCCTGGCCTAGACTGTGGCAAAAGGTTATAAAATTTACTTAACAACCGTTGTAAGTTAAGTTCAGGACTGTCTGTACATAATTGTGCGTAGAAAAATAAAGAAAAAAGAAAAAAAGAAGAAACATATACATAAATTGAATACTGATGTTTATGTCTGCAATTCTATTTACCTAACCAATTTGACCTGACCTCTATCTACTATATTTAAAAAAAAACAAGACAGTTGCAGCCATGTCAAAGCCTTTTGTTATCAGAGACTGCAGTAGCTTTTATTCTGAAAGTGACTGCTATTCCCCCCCCCTCCTAAATTTACATTGTGTATGTGTATGTGTGTGTCTCTATGCACCTTCAGCAGCCCTCATGGTTGGCACTCCACAAAGGCCCCAAGTTCTCCTGCGGCCTCTTGGCAAAATTAAAAGCCTACCCCAGGGTTAAAGAAACAAATGGCAGGAACCATTCCTTGATTTCCTAATAAATATCACAAATAAAATACATAAGTTTCCCAGAAAAGTGGGTAGGATTCGCATGGGGCTCAGGGCAGCTGCTCCGGCCTCAGTGAGAAGGGACTTTTTAAAAATTAACATTTTAATTTGTGTTTTTAAATATAACTGTGACTTGCAAAACACAGCACGAGGCTCGAGCTGATTCAATGAGAAGGAAGGGACTTTTTAAAGACTTTAAAAAAAAATTTAAATTTGTGTTTCTAAACATAACCTGAGACTTGCAAAACAGCAGCACGGGGCTCAAGCTGACTCAAGGAAGAGACATTAAAAGACTTTTTTTAAAAAAAAAAAATATTAAATATTCATTTGTGTTTTTAAAGATAACCGGGGACTTGCAAAACACAGAATGGGGCACAAGGTGATTCAGTGAGAAGGGAGGAACTTTTAAAAGCCAATTTTCTTTTTTTAAAAAAAAAACACAACAACTCAAATTTAAATTTGTGCTTTTAAACATTAACTGGGACTTGCAAAATGCAGGGGGGGGGGGGCACAAGCTGACCGGGTGAGAAGGAAGAGACTTCCTTTAAAGACAATTTAAAAAGAAAAAAACTAAATTTAAGTTTGTGTTTTTAAGATACCGTTGCTAGGGCTTTAATCTCTGCTCTTGTCTTCCTGTGGCATCAGGTTTCCCTGATCTGGCCTTTCTCAACAGGGTGATGGGGAGAATAACCAGACACTCACTTGTGTTTCGGGACGTTTTCCTCCTCCTCCTCTTCCTCCCGGCTGTTGCTTTTCGGCACCTTCACCTGGGGTGCCTCCTTGTCCTCATTTTGCTGGGGGGAGGGGAGAAAAGAAAAAGAGGGAGAGAGAATTAACAGAATACAGCTAATCCTCGACTTACGACGACCACGCTTGAGCCCAAATATCTGCTGCTAAGTGAGAGGGCTGTGGAGGGATTTTTGCCCCATTTCACGACCTTTCTTGCCACAGTTGTTAAGTGGATCCTGCTTCCCCCATTGACTTTGCTTCCCAGTGGGTCGCAAAAGGGGATCGCTTGACTCCTGGACGCTGCCACCATCTGAAGTACGAGTCAGTGGCCAGGCATCTTCAGTTTTGATCCCTTGAGCATGGGGGATGCTGCAACGGTCGTAAGTGTGAAAATTGGTTATAACTTGCTTTTTCTAGGGCTGTAATTTCAAACGGTCAGTAAATGAATGGTTGTAAGTAAAGGAGTAACAGAGTTGGAAGACACCATGAGGTCATCTAGTCCAACCCCCTTCCCTTCCTCCCCTTCCTTTTTTCTCTCCCTCCCTCTTCCTTCCTTAACCCCGCCCTCCTTTTTCCTTCCTTCCTTCCTTCCTCCCTCCCTTTTCCTTTCTTCCTTCTCTCCCTTTTCTTCCCTTCTTCCTCTCTCCCTTCTTCCCCCTCCTTCCTTCCTTCCCCATCCATCTCCTTCCTTCCTCCCCTTTCCTTCCTTCCTTCCTTCCTTCCTTCCTTCCTTCCTTCCTTCCTTCCTTCCTCCCCTTCCTTTCTTCTCTTCATCCCTCCCTTTTCCTTCCCTCCTTCTCCCTTTTCTTCGCTCCCTTCTTCCCTCCCCTTCCTTCCCTTCTCTTCCTCCCTCCCTTTTTTCCTTCCTTCCTTCCTTCCTTCACCATCCATCTCCTTCCTTTCCTTTCTTCCTCTCCTCCCCTTCCTTCCATCCTGCCATTTTCAGGGCCGAAGGTCAGAAAGCTAAGAGATCATGGAAGGATCGCCCCTCCTTTTGAAGGGTGGGGAGGGGGGGGTTGAAGAGAACACCCACATTGAGAAAAGACCCTGGTTCCATCCACCCACCCACCCACCAAGGACTGAGGCAGCCATTATAGATAGTCCTTGACCTACAACTGACCAGAATGTCACCATGTGATCAAAATTCACATGCTTGGCAGTTGACTCATAGCGTCTCATGGGTCACGTGATCCCCTTGGGCCACCTTCTGGCAAGCAGAGTCAATGGGGGAAACCGGATTCACTTAACGACCATGTGGCTCAATTAACCCACGGCAGGGATCCGCTTAACAAAGATGACAAGGAAAGTCGTCCAATGGGGCAAAACTAACTTAATAAATTTCTCACTTAGCAACGGAAACTTTTGGCTCGATTGTGGCCTGCTTGCGATACCTGTACGGGTAGGAAAAACACTGCAAGGTTTTGCAAGACTCCCGATGTTCAAAGATTGCAAAAAAGACAGGAGGGCCTGCTGAATTACACCTCATTTGGCATTTAAAAAAAAAGAAAATCTTTCCAAGGGCAAAATCGGGAGAGATATCAAACGGAACAATTCCTCAAATGCGAGCAGGGATTGTGGAGGAAATTCAAGGACTTCCTATCAGGTTTGTGTTCAAAGCACAACTGCACAGGGCTGTTTGCGAGAGTCCATTTCCTGCAACTTCACCCCTGTTGCCAGCGTAAAAGTCTCTTTTCCTCAGTTCAAGGACGGTACAAATTGTTAGGGTTTCCCCCCCCCCCACGGCCAACAGCGTCCCCATCAAATAACAATAAAACTTCCTAACAGCAACTATTTTTGCAGACAACAGAGAAAAGTGGCAAAATTCTATTTTATTTTTGGAAATTTTCGCCTGGAAAATCCCTTGGGTTAACTGTCAAGAGCAGCTAGATCGCAGAGACACACATGTAAGAGGTTCAATTTAAATTGCAAGCTTTTGCACACATTAATTAAAACATTCCCTCTTGGGTGAAAGACAGACCCAGCAATGCATTTTTTTTTCTTTCTGGAGTTGGTTATTAACTTACTTTCTCCCAATGGAGAAAGTCTGCTCTGCTCAGACCCAAACTTTTAAATTATTAAAAATCTCCATTACAGGTAGTCTTTGACTTACGGCCACAAGAGCGAGACATCTGATAAGTAAGCTACCCTCATTTTGCCACAGTGAATTACTGCGATGGTTCAGTTAGTCGCATGGTTGCTAAGTGAATCTGGTTTGTCGGAAGGTCATAAAATGGGATCACGTGAGCCTCTGACCTGCAACTGTCATAAATACCAGTCAGTTGCCAACCACCTGAATTTTGATCACATGACCACGGGGATGCTGCAACGGTTGTTAAGTGTGAAAAACAGCCCTAACTCACTTTTTCCAGTGATGTTGTAACTTGGAACAGTCAATAAATGAACTATCTGCATGCCTATCTCAGACGAAATTTTGATTCCTTGTATTTACACCTTCAACCAAATTACTATACCGGGCAACTTACAAACCAAGAGGTTAAATTTTAAGGGGGCAAAAATAGACCCACTCACGGGTTGAAGGAATGTGGTTCTGCCTGCCCTTGTTTTTGCAAGCCCTTGTAAACTGTCATGCTTAAAGCTACCGGGTCTTGCTCTGGGTTTATTAATCCTCCCTTCACTTGGTTATTTATACCGAGGCTCCGGCTGGCGCCCACCGGTTTAAAAACACAACTGTGAGTTTTCAAGAGTTGTCAGGGCTCCTGGGCTAAAACCAAAACCTTTCTCCACCTTTGGCTGAGAGCAAAACGGAGCAGAGGGTGGCTTGAAAAGAAAGAAGCAGGACGGTTAGACCAGAGGTGGTTTAATCCTGGTCAAACTGGATCGCTTAGGTAGGAGGACCAGAGGTAGAAAATTAGAAAGTTCACCTTGAAAAGGTGTGTGCAAAACCACTGCAGTTATTCTGTTGTCACAGGAAGGAGAATTAAGGTGCCTCTAGGTTCACTTCTGCGGTGAAGAAGTATATCTTGTAAATAAATCATTTTGTTGCTAGCCTTAATTTTCTCCAGGCTGCATTTTTTCCCCCAGCAGACTGATTTTTGAAGAGTTAAGCTTCTTGAATTAGAAGGGGACAGAAGTTCTGGTTGATGGATTGCAAATTAGCAGAAATCTAGCTTCTGCAAGACATCAAGCTAGAAACTAGGAGACGGTGAGTTCTAATCCCGCCTTAGGTATGAAAAATGACTGGGTGACTTTGCCAGAAGACGGTGAGTTCTAGTCCCACATTAGACTGGAACACCAACTGGGTGACTCTGGGCCAATCATCAGGAGACAGTGAGTTCTAGTTCCCTATTAGATAGGAACACCAACTGGGTAAGGTTGGGTCAATCACCAGGAGACAATGAGTTCTAGTCCCACCTTAGGCAGGAAAATTATTGGGTGACTTTGGGGCAGTCTCTCCCTCTCAGCAGAACCCACAGGGTTGTTGTTGTGAAGAAAAGTGGAGGAAGAAGGAATGTTAGATATATTTTGAGTTATTTCTAAAAATAAAAAACAAGGCAGGGGATAAACCATCGCTGGATGGTTTTCAAGAAGAGTTTGGAAAGTATAACTTCTCCTGCTTCAGCAGGGGGCTGGACTAGATGACCTGCAAGGTCCCATCCAAACCTAGGTTTCTAGGAAACAGAGACCACCACAAGCATGGAATCCCAAGGCAGGAACTACTAGGAAAAAAAGAATAGGTTGAAATGAGAATTGAAATCAAATTCGGATTTTTCTCTTCGGTGTATTTTCGTATGCCTGGAGGTCACTTTCTAGAATAAACAAAGGCTTCTAGGAACTTTTTGTAACTCTGCACAATGAACCACAAGCACACTTGGCCACGAGCCTAGTTCACTGGGGTGGGAGTTTCCCACCAGTGTGAAAAATGTGCAGATTTTTTTTGGCTAGACCTCATCGTAGGAAATGGGGCTGTTTCATCTCCTCTTTTCCCTACCTCCACACGGCTGGCGCCTTCTTCTCCAGTTCCGAAAGTGTTGGAACTACGATTCCCAGAATTCCAGAGCATGCGGGGGGGGGGGCTGCAGCCTTAAAACATGTACAATTAGTCCTTGACTTACAACAGTTCGTCTAGTGACTGTTAAATCACTGAAAAAAGGGACGTAAGGCGTTTTTTTCTCACAATCGTTGCAGCATCCCCCGTGGTCACGTGGTCAAAATTCAGACGCTTGGCAACTGGTTCATATTTACGACGGTCGCAGTGTCCCGGGGTCACCATTTTGCGGCCTTCTGACCAGCAAAGTCCACGGAAAAGCCAGATTCATTTAACAACAGTGTGACTAACTTAAGAACTATAATTATTCGCTTTAACAATTGTGGCAAGGAAGGTTATCAAATGTGGCGCAACTCACTTAAGAACTGTTTCGTTTCGTGACAGAAAATTTGGACTCAGTTCTGCTGGCAAGTCAAGGACTAGCTATAGAAGATGTAGGCTGGGGGAAAGTGATGTAGATTAGTGTGGGGCTGCTTGTGTGTGTGGGCGTGTGTCTGTGTGTCACATGGCTGAAAAGAGGATAAAGCCTAACCCTAATCTAATCTAATTGAATCAAACAAAAATCGGATTTCAAAAGCAGCTTTCATCCTATCTCGTAGGTTCACGTTTCCAACGTGAACCAATTTTCAGTGTGGGACCCACCAGAATCCCCAGCTGAAGCCCCCACCCTCTGGAAATTGTTCAGTTAGATGTTGTGTACCTGCCTAAGTCAGAACTACAGCTAGAACTCCCAGTCTCCTGGTGATTGGCCCAAAGTCACCCAGCCAGATTTCATGACTAAGGTGGGACTAGAACTCTCTGTCTCCTGGTGATTGGCCCACCCAGCTGGCTTTCATGCCTAAGGCAGAACTAGAACTCACGGTCTTCTAATGATTGGCCCAAAACCACCCAGCCAGCTTTCATGCCTAAGGCGGGACTAGAACTCCCTGTCTCCTAGTGATTGGCCCAAAGTCACCCAGCTGGCTTTCATGTCTAAGGCGGAACTAGAACTCCCGGTCTCCTAGTGATTGGCCCAAAGTCACCCAGCTGGCTTTCATGTCTAAGGCGGAACTAGAACTCCCGGTCTCCTGGTGATTGGTCCAAGGTCGCCCAGCCAGATTTCATGCCTAAGGCGGGACTAGAACTCACCGTCTCCTATTTAAGCCTGGCTCTCCGAGTATTAAAGATAGAAGCAGCCACTGAATTCAGAGCGTACCATCTTGAAAATGTCCAACAACTTCCATGGATTGGCAAAGGTTTATACAGAGGCATTTTCTGCTAAAATCCAAACATCTGCACAAACGTTTCTCATAATAACACAACCGAAACTTGACAAGGAACTGCCCAGGATTGTGGAACCACTCACCAAAATATGTCAACTTCGGACTAGTTATATGTATAACCCAGGCTATTTTAAGAGAGGTATTAACATTTTTGAAAAAAGTCCAGAAGTTCCAATTCCCCCTTTCAAAGCAATGTTTTCAACCAATCTGAGCCACAGGATGTGCTAAAATAGCCAGGCTCAAAGCAGAATACCCAAAAACAGAGAAAAATGAGATTACAGGCAATCCTCAATTTACAACCGTTTGTTTAGTGACCTTTCGAACATATAACAGCACTGAAGAAAGTGACTATGACCAGTTTTTCACACTTACGACCGTTGCAGCATCCGCGGGGTCAGGTGATCACAATTGGCAACTGACTCGTATTTATGACGGTTGCAGTGTCCCGGGGTCACATGATCTTCTTTTGCAACCTTCTGACAAGAGAAGTCAATGGGGGAAGCCGGATTCACTTCACAACTGTGTTACTAACTCAACAACTGCAGGGATTTGCTTAACGACAGAGGCAAGAAAGGCCGTAAAATGGGGCAAAATTCACTTAATGGCCATCATGCTTAGGAATGGAAAGTCTGGGCTCAATTGTGGTCGTACGTTGGGGACTACTTGCACACACCAAAAAACAGAGGGAAAAAAAATAAGATTAGATCATCAGCATGTGTTCTAAACTCCCACTTTGTTGCAAGCTGCAATTTCCAGGCCTCAGAAAGAAAGACAGATGAATCTTTCAACACCGCATTGTGTGTGCCAGGATGAGCGGGTGGACGGCCTTCAGACAAAATAAAAACCACATGCTATTTCATGGGATTAAGGTTGCTTGTGTACTTCCTGTGAAAATAAAGAAACCTTCAGGCACCCATTTTGGGGCTTGTTGAGTTTAGCTTACTTCCCCCAAGATCACAAGGTCTGGAACTGGAAGTTTAAAAGAAATATGCCCGTTTTGCTTCACAGCAAGAGGGAAAATACGCCGTTGCTGATCTTGGGAAAAGTTACGGAGGTTTTGACTTGATTAGGAAATTCCTAAGTAATACCTGACTTCCAAACTGTGGTTGAAGAAAAACAGGGAGGCAGTTTGGTCTAGTGGTTAAGGCAGCTGGTTAGAAAGTGGGAGACATTGAATTCTAGTTCCACTTAGGCACAAACCCGGCTGGGTGACTATGGGCCAATCACCAGGAGACGGGGAGTTCTAGTCCCGCCTTAAGCATGAAAGCCAGTTGGGTGACTTTGGCCCAACCAGGAGACAGTGAGTTCTAGTACCACCTTAGGCATGAAAACCAGCTAGGTAACTTTGGGCCCATCACCAGGAGATAGGGAGTTCTAGTCCTGCTTTAGGCATGAAAAACAGTTGGATGACTTTGGCCCAACCAGGAGACAGTGAGTTCTAGTTCCACCTTAGGCATGAAAGCCAGTTGGGCAACTTTTGGCCAATCACCAGGAGACGGGGAGTTCTAGTCTCTATTAGGCATGAAAGCCAGCTGGGTGACTTTGGGCTAGTCACTCTCTCTTGGCCCAATCCACCCCACAGAATTGTTGTGGGGAAAACAGGAGAAAAGTATGTTGAATATGTTCACCGCCTTGAATTATTTGTAAATATAAAATAAGAAAAACGGATATGTCTGTTTAATCATCAAGAATCCAACTTGTCTCAAGAGAGTCTTTATAGGTAATCCTCAACTGAGAAAAGTGACTTATGGTCAGTCCTCACAACCTTGCCACCTTACAGGGTCATGGGATCAAAATTCAGACATTCAGGAACTGGTTGATATTTATGACGGCTGTAGTGTCCCACAGTCATGTGAACTCCTTTTTACAACTTTCAATGGGGAAGCAACCAATTTATTAACTTGACAACTGCAGTGATCTGGTTAACAACTGGATGTGACTAGATGTCATTTAATAGATGCCTCATTTAACGGTGGAAATTCTTGTCTCAACTGAGGTCATAAGATGAGGACTACCGATATTAAATTCCATGCCGAATCGTCAAACCACTTGAAGATCCAAACTGCATTTTGTTCAAAGGTACAGAGGGAAATTCCACATTATTCAAAATTTATTTGCACCAAATTCAGGTGCTCCAGCTGTTGTTTGTACTCTACATGGATCTATTTTGTCTTTTAATGAAAAGTTGACAAATTCAAGGACTGGCCAGCCTGTCCCTTATTCCAGTGTACATGAGAAGCTGGGATGCCATGAATTATCCATGTTAAGCGTAAACAGATCCATTGGGCTCACCTGTCCAAGTAAACCACCTTCCCCACAGCTCATGGTTTATTTACCAGTTTGCTTAGTAAAGTTTTGGGTCTTTTTGAGCAAACGCAAACAGACCAGGGATGGTAGATTTTTCAGGGCACGGATGTCAGCAAAGGATTTGACAACTGACAAATTGTATTGCAATGCCACAAAGCAAACCACATTGCTTTAGGTCAGGGGTCTTCAAACTTAGCCCTTTTATGACTGTTGGACTTCAACTCCCAGAAGTCCTCAGCCAGGCACTGCTGGCTGAGGAATTGAAGACCCCTGCTTTAGGTGTTTTGAGTCTGATATTCAGTCACAAAAAGGAAGACAGACGGGTTTGCATTGTGACAGGTAGTCCTCGCTTACTGACTATTCAAAGTTACGACAGAATCTGGAAAAGGTACTTATGACCTGGGTTTGAAGTTCAAAGGTTGTGTGAATGCATTATCATAATAATAATAGTAAAGTTGGAAGGGAGCTTTGAGGTCATTTAGTCCAACCCCCTGCTCAGGGAGCACTCAGCAATTAAACAAGATGTTACACTGCTTTTTAAATTCATTTAATGCCAAGGATCATTAGGGATTTCAGCGCAGAAACCTCAGAGACAAGACAGGGACTTTTAAAAACTTTTAAATTTCTTTTTCCTGGAACCTTTTGTAAAGTTGAGGACTATCTACTTTTCAGTTTCTGGCAAAAAAAACCCACTCATTACAGCCCATGGATTTGTTTAACGACCACGCTGTTCGCTTAATGAGTGCTGCAAAAATAAGTGGCTGGGGGAGATTCTGGGAGCTGGAAGTCCACCAGTGACCAAGTTTGAAAAAACATTGACTACGGATACTCCTCACTTTACAGTCACAATTGGGGCCAGGGTTTCCGTTGCTAAGCGAGGCGGCTGCTAAGTGAATCATGCTTCCTTTCACACCTGTTTTTGCTACGGTCGTTAAGCGAATCAATGCATTTGTTAAAAGTGAAGAATACCTAACAATAATAACAACAGCAGCATCAACCTAAAGGGGGAACCTTCCCTACTAGCCATCTCAATCCAGGCCAGCAGAACAAATCCGGGGACGATGGGCTTTGTAGTCCCCAGTTTCGGGGCCGGGATATCGGTTCTCCGGCCCAAAAAAACAGAATGCAAATGGCGGACATCGTCCACGGAGAGCGGGGAGAAGGGCTTGCCACGGGGATGGGCTTTGTAGTCCCCGTTTAGCAAACACGCATGCGCGAGTGACATAACCGTGACGTCACCCCTAAGCAAGTTCCAACCTCAGGGCTTTCCCCTCAAGCCGGCCGAGCCTCCACATCCGCCTCCCGGCCCTCCGAGGCGGCTCCCGGCCCTCCTTACCTTCCTGGCCGCCCCGGTGCGTTCCCGCAGCGCCTTCAGCCGCTCCCTCCGCCGCAGCGCTTCTTCCTGCAAGCCCCCGGCCTCGGACGCCATCTTCGGGTCTACTGCGCACGCGCGCCGAGGCAAGGCGCGTCCTGTCCGCGCCGAACGAGAGCAGAGTCGCCGATCAGTGACGCAAGGATGGCCGGCCGAGCGCCGAGCGCATCGCTCGAGGTGTGAAAGTTTGCAGGGAGGAGAAGGAAAAAATTCAGAATGGGACATCGAGGTTTTTGAGCATCGGACGCAGAGTCCTCTGAGCATACGCAGAGTGCGGGAAGGCTGTAGAATGGGTGATGGAAAAGGACAAACTGGGGAACAGAGATTCAGCCTAATAATAATAAGAGGAAGAGGAGGAAGAAGAAGTAGTAGTAGTAGTAGTGACCTTGGAGGTCATCTAGTCCAACCCCCTGCTCAGGCAGAAAACCCTGTACCATTTCAGACAAATGCTGTCTAATCTTTTCTTCTGGAGGCAGGCTGTTCCACTGGTTAATTGTCCTCACTGTCAGGAAGTTTCTCCTTAGTTCCAGGTTGCTTCTCTCCTTGATTAGTTTCCATCCGTTGCTTCTTGTCCTGCCTTCAGGCGCTTTGGAGAATAGCTTGACTCCTCCTTCTTTGGGGCAGCCCCTCAGATACTGCAACACTGCTATCATGTCCCCCCTTGTCCTTCTCTTCATTAAACTAGACATACCCAATTCCTGCAACCGTTCCTTATATGCTTTAGCCTCTGGCCCGCTAATAATCTTTGTTGCTCTTCTCTGCACTCTTTCTAGAGTCTCAACATCTTTTTGACATCATGGTGATCAAACCTGGATGCCGTATTCCAAGTGTGGCCTTACCAAGGCATTGTAAAGTGGTATTAATACTTCACGTGATCTTGATTCTATCCCTCTGTTCATGCAGCCCAGCACTGTGTTGGCCTTTTTGGCAGCTGCAACACACTGCTGGCTCATATTTAAATGATTGTCCACTAGGACTCCGAGGTCCCTCTCACATGAGTTACTACTATTGAGCAAGGTACTCCCTATACTATACCTGTACATTTGTTTTTTCTTGCCTAAATGTAGAGCCTTACTTTTTTCACCATTGAATTTCATTTTGTTAGATAGCGCCCAGTGTTCAAGTCTGTCCAGATCCTTCTGTATCTTAAGCCTGTCTTCTGGAGGGTTGGCTATAAGATACTGGCTGGGGGATTCTGGGAGTTGAAGCCTACCCCTCTTAAAGCATTCTGGCTGGGGGATTCTGGGAGTCGAAATCCACCCATTTTAAAACAGCCAAGGCACTGCTCCAATTGTCTTACCAGGAGCAGATTAGGCTTGCCCCCTACTCCCAGTCATATATAGGTAGTCCTTGACTTACAACAGTTTGTTTAGTGACTATTCAAAGTTCTAAAAAAAGTGACTTATGATCGTTTTTCACACAGCTGTTGCAGCAGCCCCAGGGTCACGTGATTAAAAGTTGTTGGCTTGGTAACTGGCTCAAATGTATGACGGTTGATTGTTCCGGGTCATATGATCCCCTTTTGTGATCTTCTGACAAGCAAAGTCAATGGAAAAGCCAGATTCAATTAACAACCGACTTACCCCCTTAACAACCATAGCAAAAAAAGGTCAAAAAATTGGGTATGACTCATTTAACAACTGCCTCGCTTAACAACGGAAGTTCTTCTTTCAATTTTGTCCATAAGATTAGAACTATCTGTTGTGAAATCCATGCTAAATCTTTGAACTGCATTTAGTTCAAAGAAACCACTTAATAACTGTGTTACTAACTTCACAATTGCAGTAAGGAAGTTCGTAAAATGGGGGAAAACTCACTTAACAAGTATCTCGCTTAGCGATAAAAATTTTGGGGTCAATTTTTGTGGTGGTATGTGGAGAAAATCCTGTATTTCTACATGACTTTCTTGATGTTTCAATTCCTTTCTACTCCCCCCCCCCTCACTTCTTCCAAGAGTTGCTTTCGCACAACAGGCGGAACCCACAAGATGGAATTAATCAATGGAACAGCCAGAGTTGTGGGTGCTCAATCGCTGGAGGTTTTCAAAAAAAGATTGGACTGCCATTTGACCGGGATGGTATACGATCTGCTAGATCTTATACCATCCCGGGGGTTGGACTACAGGACCTCCAAGGTCCCTTCCGCACCTAGGATTCCATCATTCACACAGTGACCTGTGTTGTGCATTCATCTAGCCGGGAAAACAAAGGCACCTTAGCAGAGAGTATGAACGTATGTTATATGAACGGACAAAGTGGGGTCCTAACCCTAAAAAATTAATCACTATTTCTGCAAGCCTGAAACTTTACATTATTTCCATAATGGGAGTCCCTGTCTTCCTAGCCCAAATGTGCACCCCCAGGTAGTTGCATTCACACAACAGGTGGATCCCGGAAGATGAATCCCTTTGCACAACGTTCTACCCTTTCTGACTTGGGCTCTCCCAGCCAGCGAGGGAAAACAAAGACACCTGAGCAAATAGGAGCATCTCTCGGAGAAGAGGGTCTTGTGAATGGACACGCACGAACCTTAACCCTCTAACCCTAACCCTCCAAAGTTTAATTCCAAGCCTAAAACCTAGCCAGCTGTTGAGAAATTGGGGTCCTCCTAGCCCAGGCCTGCACCCCTGGATAGTTGCATTCACACAACAGATAGAATCCAGAAGATGTTTCTCTTTGCATAACACCCTGCGCCTTTGTGTTGCATGTTCTTCCAGGCAAACAAAAGCATCTGTGTGCAGAGCAGCATCCCTCAGTTTGTGTGAACAGACAAAGTGGGGTCCAGGAGGCGGACCCCCTAACCCTTCAGTGACTGCATTTCCAAGCCTGAAATCCTGCCAGGTATTGAAAAATCAGGGTCCCTCTCCCCCTAAAGCCAAACCTGCACCCCCTCATAGTTGCATTCCCACAACAGGGGGAACCTGTAAAATGCATCCTTTCAAACAATGCCCTGGGGCCCTAACTCTAAAATGATTAGTGGTTGCATTTGCAAGTCTGAAACCTTACAGTATTAGGAGAGTTGCATTCACACAACAAGTGGAACCTGGAAGATGTATCCTTTCACACAACACCCCGTGCCCCTAACCCTTAAATAGTTAAAGACTGCATTTGCAAGTCTGAAACATTACAGTATGTCCAGAATGGGAAGTGGTCTTTCTCCTTCTAGGCCACAGGTCGGCAACCTGCGGCTCCGGAGCCGCATGCGGCTCTTTGAGCCTTCCCCTGTGGCTCCCAGCCTCCTCTGCCTTTGCAGAGAGAGACAGAGACAGAGAGAGGCAATTGCGCTTCCCTGCTTCTCTCTCTGTGTGTGTGTGTGTGTGTGTGTGTGTGTGTGTGTGTGTGCTCTCTCTCTCTCTCTCTTTGTGTGTGTGTGTGTATGTGTGTGTGTAAAAAAAAAAAGATTGCACTCACAGTATTCTCAGAGGAGCTGAAAAGCTTACTGGACGGAGCCCCTCCCTTTGCTGCGTCTCTGCAGGAAGCAGGAAGGGCAGGAGAGAGCTAGCTAGCCCAGCTAGGCTGACTCAGGAATTCTGGGAGTTGAAGTCCATGAGTCATAAAAGAGACGAGGTTGCCTACCCCTGAGCTTGTTGGACAACAGCTTGAAGCTTGCCAGGTGAGCAGCAGATAGGAGGGGGGGGGAGAAAGAGAGAGAGAGAAACAGAGGGAGGGAGGGAGGGAGAGAGAGAGGAAAGAGAGAAAGGAAAGAAAGAGAGAGAAAGAAAGAGAGTGGGGGAAGAGGAGTGGCAGACCAAGGGCAGAGAGGGAGGGAGGGAGAGAGACAGAGAGAGAGAGAGAGACCCTTTTGACATCTAAAATGAAGATAACACTGCATATATCCTTTTTTTACCTGTATGTGTATGTACGTGTATATATATATATATGTGTGTGTGTGTGTGTGTGTGTATACATATACACACACACACACATATATACACACACAAACACACACACAAACACACACACTCCTATAATAAAGGTAAAAAAGGATATATGCAGTGTTATCTTCATTTTAGATATCAAAAGGATTTTGCGGCTCCCGGTGTTTTGTTTTTGGTGTGAAACGGGTCCAAGTGGCTCTTTGAGTGTTTTGGGTTGCCTACCCCTGTTCTAGGCCAAACTTGCACCCCTGGAGAGCTGCATTCACACAAGTGGAACCCGGAAGATTCGTCCTTTCACACAACATTTTAGACCCCAGTCTAAAACCTAAAAATTCACATTACCTTATTTCCATAATGGGCATTCCTTTCCTCCTAGTCTCCTAAGCGAAACCTGCACCCCTGGACAGTTGCATTCCCACAACAGGGGAAACCTGTAACATGCATCCTTTCACACAATGCCCTGTGCCCTAACTCTTAAATGGTGAAAGACTGCATTTGCAAATCTAAAACAGTGGGGGGGTTCTTTGTCCTCCTAGCCTAGTCCAAACCTGCCCCCCCCCAACTACATTCACACAACAGGTGGAACCTGGAAGATTCATCCTTTCACACAATACTTTATTCTCCTAACTCTAAACCTTAAAAATTCACCTTATCAATATTTCCATAATGGGGATCCCTTTCCTTTTAGTCTCCTCCTAGCCCAAACCTGCACCCCCCCCCCCCGGAGAGCTGCATTCACACAACAGGTGGAAACCCAGAAGATTCAGTCTTTCACACAATATCTCATGCCCCTAACTCTAAACCCTAAACATTCACCTTATCGATATTTCCATAATTTCCTCCTAGTCTCCCCCTAACTAGCCCAAACCCGCACCCCGGATAATTGCATTCACGCAACAGGTGAAACCCGGAAGACGCCTCCTCCCAACGCCCCGCGCCTTGGCGTCACGCGCTCTCGCGGGGAAACAAAGGCACCTGCGCGCAAGGCAAGGTCTCTGGCGGAGGAGGGTCGTGTGAACGCGGGCGGAGCCGCGGGTCGGCCGTGGGGCGCACCTGCGCTCCGCCCGCTGCGCCTCCCCGGAGCCCGGCCGGGCTGCGACTCAGGCGGCGGCGGAGGAGGAGCGAGGTGGGCAGCAGCGGCGGCGGAGCGAGGCGGGCAGCAGCGGCGGCGGCGGCGGCTCCGGAGCGCAGCGCAGCCCAAAACCAGCAGCCGAGGCATGGCGCAGGCAGGGCGGCCGGCCGCGCAGCCCGGCCGGGGTTAGAAGCGCGCGATCGCGGCCGAGCCTTGCCGGGAGAGTCCGGCCCGCGATGGCTTCCAAGGAGCGGCTCTACGAGCTGTGGATGCTCTACTTCGCCAAG